CGTTTCCTTTTTTTTTGTCCCACTCTCTGACACCAATTTCTTACGTCTCCGTTTGTTAATTAACTTTCCGTAACTTCCGAAACTTTAGCGACACAAGTCCTTACTTAATAAAACTGGTTTATTCTTTCCGAATCTAACTTTACGATACACTTAATTTCAACAATCGCGCTAAAACAAACGCTATAACAACGACGTGCTCAATAATACTCTCTGACTGCAGATCAATTACTCACTGTCTACACACACATTGTCCCGTCACGTTGTCGCCCTCTTATATATACCAGATTACCCTATATCTAGTAATCTCCCGACAATTCACGAAGGTTCAAGATATTTCCAGAAAGCAGGGGGCGTGACACTAGTCACGTGACCTCGCTGACGCAACAATATGTTCAGCTCTAAACTGAATGAGGTGATCTTCTGAGTTCTGAACATATATATATACTAATATTGGAAGGAGATCTGTTTCTAAGCTATGCCTAAATTCATTTTGGGGCCATTGGGATACGTCTGAAGACAAAAGTCAGCTGACTTATGTATCACTTATAAAAACTATTATACAATAATACTTTTTATCTTCTTACATTATAACTGACGTTACTTTTATCAACAACGAAGTCATTGCTTTCCAGTGGAAGTACGGACATGAATATCTCCTTTAGCGATGTCAAATGAACATCTTTTTGGACATCTTTACCAACATTCATGCGTGTCTGAAGTCGTATAACATCTTAGAGAATCCTGGCCCATTTGTGTTGTACTATGACATATCAGACAGAACTAATGAGACTTTCTTGGAGAATTTTACCAACGAGCTTGACGACTTGTTGTAAGATTTAGATAGTTACACCTAATTTTACTGACGGTAGTAGAGCTCTGCATGTTGGCTGGCAAACTAGGTTCGAATCTATGCAATACCTCAAAATATTCCCCTGTTTCAAGTTGTTGGTGTATTATGTTTGTTTAAGTTATTCACAAAGTTACACAATGGGCTATCTGTGCTCTGCCCACTACCAGTATCGAAACCCGGTTTCTAGCATTGTAAGTCTACAGACATACCGCTATGCCACTGGGAGGCGATGTATTATGAGATTGACAATCTCATACTAAGCATGGGTAGGGTGCTAGTGACTGATTGTCTTCCATTTAGTCTTAGTAGCTTTGCCATTAACACAAAAATACTAATATGTAGCAAACAGAATAGTCAATATTCACTGTTTGATATTTTCTTATAGATTACCTTAGGAGAGAGTGGGCTGTTACCTCTAACTTTTCCCATAGCGAGTGCATATCTTTAACAATAAAACTACTGTTAATCCAGTACATGTAAATGCATATTTTAGAGGAGAGATTTCCGATACAAAACTTTATCATAGCAATGAGTCAAAAATCTTTATCATTACAGATAAAAAGCATTTTTCAGCATTTTTGTTTTTGTTTTCACCAGATAAACATTTGTGCAACTACAATGCAATAGATAGTTTTGAAGTTCAACATCAAACTATACTTTTGACCAGAACTAAACTATATTTTCATGTTATGATAATTAAATCCATATTCTAGATGGGTATGAAAATTTGCAATTTATCATAAGTCACTAGTTTGGTTTGTTTGGAATCTTGCGCAAAGCTACACGAGGGCTATCTGCACTAGTTTTCCCTAATTTAGCAGTGAAAGACTAGAGGGAAAGCAGCTAGTCGTCATCACCACCAACTGACAACTCTTGGAACACTCTTTTACTAATGACTAGTGGGATAGACCATCACATTATAACGCCCCATGACTGAAAGGGCGAGCATGTTTGTTGGGATTGGGATTTGAACCCGCGACCCTCAGATTGCGAGTCAAGTGCCCAAACCACATAAGTCACCAAGCAACTGCCTTTAGCCCAATGAAGAGACCTGTCTTGACTTCAGGCTAGCTGATTACAATGGATGAAAGAAAATTATCTCTACTACAATGTGGTGTAAGCATTATTAACGTTTGGAAGTTAGATATTTACAGGTCATGGAGCGATGTAAACTAGTGCTTACATATATTTTTCGTACATCTGATTATAATACCAGAAGGAAGAATGCATTGTGTATTGTTATCCTAAATCAATAATTTCATTATTCAAAATAGTGCATGAAATTATATATACCATAAACAACTTAATTTTGAGTTTAATGCCCCCCCCCGTATTATAACTTATTGCTATACCTCTGTGGTATTTTCCATCTCGCAGGCTTACCTCAGAATACATAGTTAGGGCCTGCTTACTAAAGTTTCTGACATACTAAGTAACAGTGTGTTTTGTGTTTCTCCCTGAACTCCGAGTTCATCACACAGAAAGAGAGAGTACACAAATGCACAAGAGCAAGTGTATTTAATAGATGTGACGAACTTTCGATAGGTGAGTGAAAATATTAAACTCAGTCGGACAATTTGTATATAGGCGACCAAGTTAGCAGAAGTAAGTAAATTAATGAAAGTGAAGTTAGATTGTGTGATTGTGAGTTTAATCATAAAGAGTGTATAGTGGCAATTTATAAAGTGTTTTACAACTTGTATTGTAATAACAGAGATAGAGGAGAAATAATTCGTCTTGTCATTCAGGTACTTAAGCAACTGAACCAGTCTGTGTGGACTTTTGATGTCAAAAAGGTATTTAAAGCTTTGGATACAATTATGATAACCAATAGTGTAATGAATTTTTGTACATATGTTCGACTTGTTTTGAACATATTAATTTATAATAAATGGATTATGTGCTGTTTGTTTATTGTTGAAATTTATTGTCGACAATTCACGACACCTACTGTAAAGAATTTAGCCAATAAAAACCTGACAGTCAGTAAGGAACACCTTACAGCCATATCTTAGCACCAGAAAACTTCAACAAGACAATAGTTCTGTGATATTCGTGACTGATCGGTTGATGAATTCACTTCAGACTGAACTTCACAGACCATGGCTTTAATGAATTCAGAATAAATACTATAATTACTAGAAAAAGAGTGAAATCTCTGGTATTTGAATATACCATGGTTTTAATCTTCTTGTAGTATTATAATATTTATTCATTAATGTAAATTTGTACAGGTTTCACCAAAAAAAAAGATCAAGAAAACCATTACATTGATATTGTTTCAACTTAGGTTTCAAAAACAAATATAAATTGCACAATAGTTGGATATTGAAGTGTGTTGTATATACAAGACTGTTTAGTGTAAGAGTTATTATTAAGTTCATTTAGTTATCTAATATCTAATGATTATTTAGTTTTCATGAGAAGAGTGTTAAAAGTAATTATTTTAAAGGAGATAATTATGACAAATTTCGTTATGTAACTCGGCAAAAGTCGTATATT